GGCTCCCTGCTCAGCAGGGAGTCTGCTTCTCCCTCTGACACTAACCCCTCTCATGTGCTCTCTCTCATTCTCTCTCTCTCAAATAAATAAAATCTTAAAAAAAAAAAAAGGAGTGGCTACAGTAAATGTATACCAACAAAATGAAAGTAGAGCTGTATCATGATCGTGAATCATATATGCACAAATGCCACAAAAAATTAAACCTATAATAATTACTGCTTAGGGAGCAGAGATTCATAATTTTTACAATAATTTTCTTTTAACGGCAAAAATCAAGAAAATATATCTATAGTTTTTATTTTACAGGGCTAGTCAGGATAACCTATTGACATAGAACATTCTATACACCCAAGGCCACTAAAATTTTAGAATTAGACCAAAAAAATATTAAGGACCACATAATCATAACATAAAGCAGTAAGAATCAAAAGCAGCTGTTAGGTAAGACCAGAGTATTTACTATAATACATTTTCACCTCTTGGGAAACTCTGAAAGAAACCTTGAAAGAAAAAGATATTTGCAACAATTACACACATGAAACAGTTGTCTACTGGTTTTCTTTTTAAATTTAGCTGCCAAGATAGTCCCACCAAACATTCCAACCAGACAAAATACCAATATACCTGCTTCCTATCATACAGATGAAATCAAGATGTTTTAAATGAGATAAATGAAAACACAACTCCATATCTAGATAAAACTGCCAAAAGCCCCAAGGAGGGACTAGCAAGTTAAAGATGAAATCTCGTTTTAGATAGAAATGACTGAAAGGCAAGCCAAGGCTTCCAGAAAAATTCCCAGTAGCCTTCTAAATGCTATACGCAACAAGCCAGAAATCAATTCATTAATACATGCAAAAATAAAAGTCAAAGTTTTTTGGTTTTTTGTTTTTTTTTTAATTGTTTTTAGTAATCTCTACAACGAACATGGGGCTTGAACTCATGACCCTCAGATCAAGAGTCGTGTGCTCTTCTGACTGAGCCAGCCAGGCACCCCTGTAAGTCAAAACCTTCTAACATTGAAGGTCCTATTCCCCAGAACCACACTCTCCCCACATAGAAGAGAGATGACATGCAAGAACATCTTCAATAACAACAAACTACTCCTTTTACTGGCCCAGTGGATCTAATGGCAACTCATGTTTTTTTAATTTAAAAAAAGATTTTTTAAGTACGCTCCATGCCCAAAATGGGGCTTGAACTCATGACCCTGAGATCAACAGTTGGACACTCTGACGGAGCCAGCCAGATGCCCCAAATTTCTTATGTTTTATTTTATTATTTTTTTTAAATAGGCTTCATGCCCAACAGGGGGCTTTAACTCACGACCCTTAGGTTAGGAGTTGCACGCTCTACCAATTGAGCTAGCCTGGCACCCCGGCAGCTCACGTTTAAAGTTACCTTAACTTTTCTTGGGGAACAACAGAAATATGGCTCTAAAAACAAAAATTTTAAACCTGGAATTTAAACAGGGCTACTGAGATGGGAGGTCTGTGCCAGCTTAGTCACCTTTCCATGCTAATCTTTTTTTTTTAAATAAATTGCTTTGGCTCTGAATAACCCTATTTTCATTAGCTTTCCATTAACTTACCCTTTTTTTTTTTTTTAACTCCCTTAGCATAGTTATTTATACATTGTCCTGGCCTTGAGATTCCTTCAAATTGGCGAACTGATAAGAGTATCTTAATTGACATTGCCAATGTCTGTTTTTTTACACAATCACAGTGTTTTCTTGTGATTATTTGCATTGCTGATTATTTTGTATCAGTAATAGCACATACAAAACACAAACAAAGCTAAAATATTTTTAAATTGGCAGAAAGTGATAGTGGTATAGTAGAAAAAAATACCCTATAAGGCAAGACACTCCTCAGAAACGGGCACCTGGGTGGCTCAGTCGGTTGAGCGACTGCCTTCGGCTCAGGTCATGATCCTGGAGTCCTGGGATCGAGTCCCGTATCAGGCTCCCTGCTCAGTGGGGAGCCTGCTTCTCCCTCTGACCCTCCCCTGTCTCATGCTCTCCCTCTCTCTCTCTCAAATAAATAAAAACTTTAAAAAAAAAAAGACACTCTCAGAAATGAAATCTTAATTCTGTCAGGGAAAGAATATTGCAACCAGCAGTTGCTCTGATTAAATCCTAATTCTGCTGAAAGCCTGAGTGAAAAGAAAAAGGCAATAAAAAAATAAAAATTGTTATCTGGCTCAAATCTTCCACCAATCTGAGTTAAAGTATCTTCCTTCTTCAACATCTCTTCCCTTCTACCACAATTTGGTAAGTTAAACATAGCACATTCAGTTCTGCTTTGCTTTTTTCTTTAGCTCTCCATTAAGAGCACTTGTATATCACTAAAATACCAAACTCTCAGGAAATTATTAGCTGCATCCTAAGTTTCATTTCAGCAAGAAAGAGTTGCTCTTTCTTGTCACTCATGTGAGTTAAACACACCAAAATAGAAAGCTTAACATCCAAGACGACACCAAGTCTTCACAAACAGTTCTGGAATCATGAAGTGATAATGATTAAGCTGGACTGCCGAAAGACTTTAACTAGACCTTTTTTTAATTTATTTACTTTTAAAGCAGTGGAACATTCCTTCAGCAAAATCCTTTATAAAAACAGTTGAGTGGATCTGGTTGAACTACTCTGTCACTGCTAGATGTAGAGCCAACCTCACTAAACTTGCTCCCCAATCACCCCCAAGACAGCCACTGTAGCCACACAGGGAAATCTTTGTAAACATTTTCAAAAGCATGCATCTAATCCAAACATTGTATTATAGTTTTTGTATCTTTTTTTAAATAAGTATGACGAGGAGGGGCGCCTGGGTGGCTCAGTTATTAAGCGTCTGCCTTTGGCTCAGGTCATGATCCCAGGGTCCTGGGATTGAGCCCCGCATCGGG